TGACCATTCATTCTCAGTGGTAAATAGGTCAATGGAGGGATGATAGGAGTTACTATAGAGAACTTTCTGGGTGTCTGGCTGGTGAGTCTTGCCCACATGCTCAGGATTTAGCTGATCGCCATATTTGGGGTTGGGAAGGAATTTTCCTCCAGGGTAGATTGGCAGAGACCCTGGAGGTTTTTCGCCTTCCTCTGTAGCATGGGGTACAGATCACAGCTGGAGGATTCTCTGTATCTTGCGGTCTTCAAAGTATTTGAAGGCTTCAATATCTGAGATATAGGTGAGAGGTTTATTCTAGAAGGGGGTGGGTGAGATTCTGTGGCCTGCACTGTGCAGGGGGTCAGACTAGATGATCATAATGGTCCCTTCTGACCTTAAAGTCTATGAGGTGAGCCCCAACCCAAACAACTTATCTAACACTAACTAACAGGTACTTAACAGGGGAAAGCAACTTGGAAAGAAAAAGGGTTTAACTAGCTGCTAACTACTGTAATGGCTTTAGAACACCACTGAAGTCACACTTGCAGGCAAGCGAGAAAGGAGCTCCAACAACTGTCATGGGAGGTAAAGAAGGAACTGAGGGAGCAGTAGGCCAGCGGGGGTATATATGCGCCAATATAGCAACACCACTTCAGGGGGCTTCCCTGCTGGCCTGACAGGTACCACTAAGGGAAAACTCTCTGACAATCAGTGCACATGGCGCGTGCACACCTAAGTGGAATGGAGATGAGCAAGCACTTAAATAACATTATTGCAAGGACTTTGAAATTTGCATCTGTCTGTTAGAAAGGATGATGATACATGTACTCTAAAGTCTCAGAGGGGTAGCTGTGTTAGTGTATAACTAAAAAAATATATATATCTTTAAAAGCTACAACAGTCCTAGAGCACCTGTGGCAGAGTCAGTCCTACTCCTGGGTCCAAACCCGTTTTGCCCACTATCCCAGAGTTTAAGAGCCTCAGTACAAGTCTCAAGTGCCTTTTATCGTTTGACCTTCTGTCCCTTGGCAAAACAAAGTATGTTGGGGCCGATTCACCTGGCCAGTAGAGGCTGAATAAACAGTCGTGCTCAGCCACCGGCTAAAGTCTCTGGTAGGCAGGTGAACAACTAGTCAACTATCCGATAAGCAAATACTTATTGGATAACCGACAGGTTTGTTGACTAGTCACTCCCCACCCCTTGCTGCCTCTATCAGAAAGAGGCAGCAAGGCAAGGGGGAAGGAAGGGGTACTCCAAAGCAGCAGCACTGCATGGAGCCTGGGGCCAGATCCCGGGCTCCACATGGTGCTGCCGCTTTGAAATGCCGCAAGGAGCCTGACACCAGGCTCTCCACAGCATTTCGAAGTGTCAGCGCCGCATGAAGCCTGGGTCACCAGGGGAGTCCCCAGCTAATCCTGGGCTCCATGTGATGCTTTCACCCTAGGGCTGTTGCTATACTTCAAAGACGGAGGCACCCTATCAATAGGATAATCAATGCAAAAATGCATTGACTATTTGATTAGTTATTTACTCAATATTTAGCACCCCTAGTTTCTGGCCACCTGGGGAGAAGAGAGCACCAAACGCTGCTTGTTGGAGCCCCTCACCTCTCCCAGCAACTTTTAGTAGTGCTCCTCTGATTCCCCTTATCAACTCTCCACCTCCACTCTCCAAACTCCTTCGCCACTCTCCCTCACAGGGTAGGTTTTTAAAGAGGCCCCATGGCAGCTTGAAGTCAGCTCACCCGGCCCTTAATTGATTTATAGCAGCCCTGTCTCAGCTGCCCATGATTAGCCAGGGCCATTGCTGTTTTTTCAGAGCTGCCTCTCTCCCCTTCCATCAAGACCTTTAAACCTGTCCTGTCACACACCTTAGACTAACAAAAATGTATAAATAGTATCATGAGCTTTCGTGGGCATAATCAACTTCATCTAAGAGTAGTGTTAATTTTCTTTTTATTTAGTTTCATATTAAATAATCATAAGCATTTCTTTTTGTTAATTATCCCTTTTTAAATATATTTTCTTCCACATCTATGGACTATTTAAATATATATTTATATCTATTTTTTTTGTTTTTACTGGTGGGTACACATCCATACACTACCTTAATATTAGCGTTGCACATGAGAAATTTCAACCCATCCAAAAGAAAACTCACCCTAAGGATGGAAAAATCTTAGAAGGAACACCGATCAGGACCCTAACGTGAGTTGTAACTCCACTTGAATTGGGTTGCTAAGGTTAACTTAGACTTGCTGAAGCCTGAGCTGCAGCATCCAGAACTGAAACTAAAGCCTCAGGGCTCAGGTTACAGAGCATCTGCGTGGGACTGAAGCACTTGGGATTTCATTGCCTCTGTTTAGGGCGGTGGTGGGCTCAGGATTTGGCCCACTAACCCAGAACTTAAGGATTTGGGTGAATTCAAGCTTAAGTCAGAATTATGAGGAAGCTCACAGAAAGCTTCTCTCTGATTATAACAGTCTTCAGAGACAAATCCACATTCTATTTGTCCATGTTTTCCTGAAGTTCTGGCTTCAGGAATCAAGGAATGAGCTATTCGATCTACAGTGCCCTTCTAGATAATCTGCCCCAATGTTCAAACACCTCTGTCTTCTTATGTCTGAGACACTTCCAACCATGTGCCTTACTGCTTCAAACTGCAGCACTATGGCATAAGACCTATAGCAAGAGCAAAGAAGGTTCTCAGCACATACAGAATGTGTCCTCTGTACTGGAAACATGGTACTCCAATAGAGTGACCAGATAGCAAGTGAGAAAAATTGGTACGTTTTGGAGGAGAAATGGGAGAGAGGGAGGCATGTGGGGGTGGTAGGGCTGCCTATGTAAGACAAAGCCTCTAATATCTGGATATCTGGTCATGGCGACTGTCAAACTCTGGGTAAATGCTGTTGTTGACAGTGACAGTAATATTTAATTGTTTAAGATAAAATGGCTAGAAACAAGTTAATACCATAGTTTAGAGTCATACTGAACTATTAGAACCTTCAAGAAATGTTCATGATGAAAAGAACATTTATAATCTCTCATGACATCAATGGCTAGAGATTGCTGAATTATAGAACAATTTGACTGATTATTTCAGAACCATCAAATCCTTCACCATTATTTCTTGGCTTATACACCTGGGAAAGTGTTACATGAACAGATACTAATTTTGTGAATTTGAGGAAAAAAAATGTGTTTGTTATTCTTCCAGCTCTAGTTACGAAGATGTGAAGTGCCACTTTAGTTTATTAATTGCTATGTATATCGTATATGATTTTCACCCAGCAGGCACAAAACTCACTGCTAACTACACCTTCTGTGTAGCTAGATATGGAAATCCAATAGCAGACCAGTTAAGAACAAAATTTAAGATTTGGATGTAGCATATACCTGCCCAAGTGCAATGCATGTACATTAACTACCATATGTTAGAGACACAGAAGTTATCAAATTACAGCAGGGATCACAAAACTTTCTCAAACTACAAGCAAACGGAGAAACTCAATGTCAAAAGAAAGTTATATCAAGATTTTCAACTGGAACTTCACATACATGTTTCAAGTTCTCCATATCAGAATGTTTGGTTGAGTCTTTTTGTATGCAACACTTAGTGAAAGTGTAGCCAATTACAGGTGAGTGCAGGGAAGTATGAGCCGCCCCTCTGGAAAGAGATGCCCCAGTGATTCATTTTCCCAAGAAAAGGGATGAAGATTAACCCTAGTTACAGGAAACTTAGTCTATAAAGGCAGAGTTTTGGATCGGTGGACCAAGTAAAACAAGCAAGACAAAAAGATGAATCTACCCTTTCCAAACCTATGACCCATTGTTCTGCAGTAATTCATCATAATCAGGATTTGAATAGCTATCTTCAGCTGACAAAAGCTGCTGTCACCCATAGAATCATACAGCACAGATTTATAAAACAAGGAGGATTCTGTGGCCACATATGAGCTCTCTTTCTGTTTTCTTTTTACATTAAATCAATACCTTCACTGCTTTTCTTGAAAAAGACTTTCTGGACTGGAGACCAAGCCATTTGCCAACTGAGGAATTACAAAATGGATGTGTATGTTTTCAATGGAAGGCAAATCAGGTAGCTCGAGGCTAGGGCAGAGTGGTCATGAGTGCAATAGCAGGCTCAGGGCAGGAGGTTGGAATGGAGCTACAGGATCTAGGTGATAGCTAGGATTCAGGAGGGGGCTCAGGGTTGGAGAATGGAGTCTAGGAGGGAATTAAGGTGCAGGAGAGGCCTAAGGGCTATGATGCAGGATTCGGGAGGGAGTTAAGGTATAGGAGGCGGCTCAGGGCTGGAGAATGGGACAATTACATGGGGGCAGCTCTCTTTTAGAGCTGATGAAGGAACAGGTGGCTTGTACTGCCCTGCACTCACCTGTGGGGACTCTCCCCCTAAGCTCCCATTGGTCATGTTTCCCAGCCAATGGGAGCTGCAGGGGCAGACCCTCAAGGTGAAAGCTGCATGAGGAAACAGGTTCCTGGTGCCTGCTGTGATGCAGCTCCAGCAAGGGGGTGAAGAAATGGCAGCACATGGAGCACAAACCCTCTAGCCACAAAGGGCTGGCCTGGAACACAGGGATTTTACTGACTGTAGCCCAAGGCTCTGTGCTAAGGAGGGCCCCAGGCTGTGGCTCCTAAAGCCCCATTCTTAATCCAGCCATGGCAGGAGGAGGCACGCTCTTCTGGTGCCAGCAGGAAACTACCATGTCCAGGGGAGAGGAGGCTATGGCAGCTCTGAGCAAGACATCTCTGAGCAGAACTTAAGTAGCCATGTAAGCATGCAGCTTAAAGAGAATGCTGGGCACAAATCCAGCAATATTACAGGCTCGTAGACGACAACTCAGTTTAATCCATGACACAATTGCTAACCAATTTAGCACCTTTTAGGAATAAACTTTAAAGATAAAATGTAGATTCTGTCCAAGTAAATGCTCTAAAATTATACGTAATTTGTAAGCTAAATTTATTTAACTCTTTTGGTCATTGTAGACTCTTACCTTACATTCTCTTCTGCAACACATTCAGTAGTGGAACCAGTTTGTCTACAGGATGATGAAAGAGGTTTAACTGAAGAAACTGATTGTCCATTTACGTTTTTAGGCAATGCTGAAGCAGATTTGGTTCGATTTAGTATTGTGTTTTGCGAGTTTGCACCTGGAAAATTTGACTAAGATAAAGAAAAAAAAGTCATAAGTCATTGCAACATCTGTTCATGTCCACAACCCGTGCTGAGCTAGTCAGAACTCATGGATTTCATTCACACCTTGTTTTCAGAGCAACAGATGGTATTTTTTTGAATTTGGTGATTTGTGTCTTTTTTAACCTGCCTTCCCTCCCATAATTTATGTCATGTGTGAATTTCAAAACTGCCTTTCTAGACCAAACACTGAGGGCATGTAGGGGGATGGACGGATGAACGGACAGACGTACACACACACACACACACACACACACACACAGAATTACAAAATACTTT